GTAATCGTGGGAGTTGAAGATGGCACTAGGATGCTTGAAGCGATGAAGTTCTCACAGAAGTCAGACCTGTGCGATAGCTCTCTTGCATGCCTGCAATTGAGTGGAGTGCTGGAGCTTTCTAGCAGGCCGTGGTTCGCACCATCCCAGGCAGAGTGTTTTTGCGCTTCATAAGAACATTCATGTGACAATCAACCTACGCAAAAGTATTTGTGCATGCTGCAATCTGGCAGAGTGCTGGAGCTCTCTGGTTTAAGGGACAAGTAGTGATCCACACCAACCCTCCAGTGTGTTGGGGCCTGTTTGGAGTGTTTTCCTCTGCTTCCCGGTTTGTTTCTATGGTGTGTAAGTTGTTCGGCAGGAGGATTTGCGGAAATCTTTTTCTGGTCAGCACATTGCTCATCATGTCCATCCTTGGTGTCAGATGCTCAGGCAACCATAGGAAGGAAAGAGATTATGACAGGCTATAACATTTGCTATTGTTGCGCATGTTGTAGCTTATCACTTCAACAAGGCAGACCACAGCAGATGTTGACCGCACTGTCAATTTAGCCTAAGGCAGGTCAAAGGGCATTTCCCCCCTACAATCTTTGCTCTTTGCAGGCATGCCACACGTGGCACCCTCTTGAAACAAGCACCTTATGTTGCAAAGAGTTTAAGGAGGTTGTGTTTTGTTGTGTGCAGTGGACTTATCCAAGAATAGGTCCGACGACGACAGATCAGACGAGTATGTGAAGCAGCACCTGCTGACAGAGCCCACACCTACTCTTCCACAATCCAGGAATGCATTAGATGCCTCTCTGAAAAGCTCTGCTAGCATCAAGCTGCCCGTCACTGCGCAGTGTTACAAAAGAGTTAGCGCAGAGAGCCCCACACTTGCCAAGCAGTGTTTGGTCTCGACCGATGGCTCCCATTTGCCAGCATTTCTGAGTCACTACATCCTGGAAAGTCCGTCGAGCGCTTCAACAGAGATGAGTGTAACGTTGTTTGTAAGCCCAGCGTTGCAAGCCGTCTTCAATCTGCTCGATAAATTCAGTGGGCTCAGGCTGAATTGCAAGTTGACATTCAATGCCGCTGAAGCAGACACCTCCAGTCGAGCAGTTGCCGTTGGCAAGAGGCCAGACACCCTAGGCATGGCAAACTCATGTACATTCTTGATGGGAGAGGACAAGAAGAGGAAGCTGGAGGAGGGCATCGGCGACCTCCGGCGGAAGAAAAGAAAACTATCGAGGATGCATTATGGCGACGTCCCGTTCATCATCGGCTATGCGGCCGCCGAAGCCCGCTTCAGATGGTTTTGGCTGGGGTCAGATGAGGCTGACGTACGTAACCTCTATTCAAGCAGTCTTGTGATCAGATGTTGTTGCTGCCTTTGGTTGTCATGGATTCATTGGACCTGTACCCCTCTTTGACCTCCCTCGTACAACTTTTGGTTTGACAAAGCAATGTCTGCTTTTTGACGGGGCGCAGCT